ATGGATGGATGGATGGATGGATGGATGGATGGATGGATGGATGGATGGATGGATGGATGGATGGATGGATGGATGGATGGATGGATGGATGGATGGATGGATGGATGGATGGATGGATACCATGTTTCCCTGAAAATAAGAAAGAAACGTATATTAATTTTTGCTCCAAAAACGCATTAGGGCTTATTTTCAGGGAATGTTTTATATTTTTCATGTACAACCATGTATGTTTATTCAACTACAGTCATATCATCTTCTTCTGGTTGCTGCACAAGAGTGGAGGGCAGGGTTTCACTTAAGTGGGGCTTATTTTGGGGGTAGGGCTTATATTAGGAGCATCCTGAAAAATCACACTAGGGCTTATTTCCAGGTTAGATCTTGTTTTCTAGGAAACAGGGTAGGCAGACAGAGAGACAGAGGAAGAGAGAGAGAAATTCACTTAAAGATCTTAGGTCTTGTTTTCTGGGAAACAGGGTAGACAGATAGAGAGACAGAGGAAGAGAGAGAGAGAAATTCACTTAAAGATGGTAGGACACATAGAAAAGGGTTTTCAAACAAGAGAGTCATATAAAGACTGTGATTTTCTACCAGCAAATGTTTTATTTTTCTTACCTGGATTGTCTCCAGTAAATGCTACAACTTTACAGTCAGGATGAAACCCAAAACGCTGAACGTAGTATGGTGAAACCGACCCCTAAAATTGATGGAAAGAATTGGTGGAAAGTTAGGTTGCTGTTTCAGGGAAGCGCTATAATAATTTTGGATCAGAATATATTTTATTTTGAAAGAGAAATCAAGTTTGTTCTACACAAAACTTATACAGGCTGATAAACTAGGTAGAGATCATTAGGGGGGGAAATCCCAGCATCAGAGACACCCACATTTAGACAGGGGGAGCCCCAATCTTTTACGCAGTAACTTTACAAAACTACCATTTTGAAAATTCTTTGAATGGAACCAAAACATTGCAAATAAATTTGCAACGGAGATTTCTGAGGAACTGTAGATCATTATCTCCACTTGTCTTTTTGGATCAGAGATCCATGAAATAGCCGTTCAAAATCTAGCATTCATACAGAACCCCTGTAAGAGACTCACATGAAGTTTAAGAAAAGGACAAGGAACCATCCAAGTATTGACGACAGGCATTTTCATCTTACCTATCATAGTTACTGTGAATCACATATATACAGTAGGAAAACCCCCCCCCGTATCTGCGGGGGATCAGTTCCAAGACACACCCCTGACAGATGCTGGTGTGGATAATTGCAAATGCTATTTTAATGGTGAACACTATGCATAGCGTGGTCTCTAGTGGCCAGTGTTGGTAATGACACTGTAGAAATATACAATGGTGCCCTGCTTGATGATTACCTCGTTATACGACTAAAGCGCTTCATGATGATGTTTTTGCGATTGCTATTGCGATCGATGTTTCAAAGGGCCTTTTTCATTTGACAATGATTGGTTCCCTGCTTCAGGAACTGATTTTTCGCTCCCCGCTGTGTTTAGGAGGGCTTTTTCGCTTTACAAGCACCGGAAAATGGCCGCCCTATGGAGGATCTTCACTGGACGATGAGGTATTTCGCCCATTAGAACGCATTAACCAGTTTTTAATGCATTCTAATGGGTTTTTTACTTTTGCTTGACGACGATTTTGTTGTACAGCGATTTGGCTGGAATGGATTATTGTCATCAAGTGAGGCACCACTGTATTTCACTAGTGAACACTATACACAGCATGCTACCTGGCTCCCTCTAGTGGCGAGTTTTGGTAACTGCATCTTTAGAAATACATATTTCTAGGATTTTTCTTTTGATATATTTAATATTTTCAGACCATGAATAAGTGAATCAGTGGATACTGATCCTCCAGATAAGCCAGTCCTACTGTATATATAGGATTTTTAATTTTTGGAAGCATCAGCTTTTGCAATTATCCCCTAATTTTCTAGGTTAATTCCAACAACTTCATAAGTTGACCTTTGGGAAAAGCTATGAAAATTGAAACCTGCTCACATTTTTGACGGGCATGAAGTCGATCAAACACCAAAATAAATAAATATCTCAATAAAAAGGATTAGATATGGCCCTATGCCCTAGCCTCAAAGCATTTCCTAGAATTGTTCCACAATCACACATACCAGTATTTTACTTGATGGCACAGGACGGCCCAGCTTTTTTGCTAATTCTGGTGCACAAGCATCAAGACAGTCTGCATTCCATACTTTTTCATGGATATCCAGTAAATTCATGCCAGAGCCTGAAAAAGAAGACAGCTTTTTTTCCTCCTCTGAAGTAAAAAAAAATGTAGATTTAATACTCACAGGCAAGAAGTGAATAGAAAGGTTAATGTAATATACCACTTCTGTTCCAACTGTCACTACTACTATTCAAAATATTTAATGCATTTATCATACAAATTAGTCAGATTCTCTGTTCTGAAAGCACTCTGAGTAATGTTCCAACCAGAAAAGGAAGGAAAACATCACGATTAGGTAAATCAAACAAACAAAACATGCCAATGCGTCGGCTGAAGGCAGGATCCAGAAGAGGCATGAAATTTTAGCTTAAAAGTCTATACGAAGAATAGATGTTATTGGTCATCTGAAAGAATGACATTAAAACATCAGCTGTTGGAAAAGGCCAGAAGGAAGATGAACAAAATGCAGCAAATTTTGGGGTCCTTTTGCAATTCAAGGGGTAGGTTGAAGACTACCAATACGTCCTCGTCGCTTCCAGTGGTAGAAGTGATCTGCTGGATCCTACCCAGAATACGAGAATTGTTCACGGCTTAGTTTCTAACATGGGGGGGCGGGAAAATCTCGTTTTAATGTTTTCTCTTTCAACTCTGGACATTTTGTCTTGCAACACGAGATGTGCTGCAGCAGATCTGGCAAAAGAGAAATTGATGTACACATATCAAAAGGGAGATATTTCCATACGTTCACCTGTTCAAGGGCTGAGCTCACAGGCTGAAAACAGTACCAAGTCCTTCTTGAGTCTAGCCAGAGTTAAACCTTGGAGAAGTAATACGTGGGTCTCACGCCAATGAAACCACATCTTATGCATACATGACACTTTTAGAAGCATCTTTCCTTCCAAAGGCCTTTTTATCCCCTCATTGGTCCATATCGGCATCCTCTACGAGTGATCAAACGTACTGGGTATTAGGTGTTAACACAGCTTTTCAAGAAACAAAAATTGGTTTGAGGGGGGCGCTAAATGATTCTACAGCAAAAGTGTGACGTATTTCTGTCACAGAGTCACGAAATGAACTAGGTAGCATTCATTTAGCACATTTGATTTGCATGACACAGAGCTGATCACGTTTAATGAATTGAATCTCGTTTTGCACACCATTGCTCTCTAGCAAGATATATGGAGTTTGTATCTGTATTTTAAATAGTGCCCATAGTCACACAGGTCGCCAATTGATCAAAGGTTGTCTGGAAGTAAACATTTTTGAGTGCACACATGATTTTGAGTAGATGTGTACAGGATATGCACTGTTAGCATTGCAGATATATCTGTCACACTCAGAGTGCAACGTAATACTGACATCATTCAAAACTAACTTTCCTCTCTCTAGCCCAGTGTTTCCCAGGTGTTCTTGGACTGCAACTCCCAAAAATCTTGGCCAGCACAGCTGCTGGTGAAGGCTTCAGGGAGTTGCAATCCAAGAAAATCTGGTGACTCAAGGTTGGGAGCCTCTGCTCTAACCCTATTCTTGCATTAGAACTCAAAACAAGTAGAGCTGTAATTATGGTGTGAGATGGGGGTACATGTAAGCGTCAGCCTCTATGATGCCATTCTCCCAAGAAGTCAGGCGAACCTTCACATGTTCACCATAAACCTATACAGAGGTGCTTGTACATGCTTGCAAACAACTCTGCAGACCTACATGATGAATGCACAAAGGTCTGCCTGCTGTCGAGGTGAGAGGCAACATGGTGAGCGGGGCTCACATGTACCCCCACGTCAATGCCACACATTTATCTCCAGGGGTTTCCAGGCTAAACACCTGGACAAGGTTTCTGTCTCAGTATCTGCAACTGAAATGTGGAAATAAAAGCACAGATCTCTCCAACAGGATTGCATGAAACATTACTGAAATGACAGATGAGAGGAGCACTGAACAATCCAAAGACAGCATGTGCATAGTATTTATTGCTGGGCCTTGAGAACTGGGACTTTGTTTTGAATGGAGAGGGACTATATATTCTTTAAAGCAATCTTTGCTCAATACAGGGCATGATCTGCCAGGAACCAAAATCAATGAGAATTGCATTATAAAAATTGAAATATTTGCAGGAGCAAACGGCTCTATAGTAAGACAGATTAGAAAAAACAAACTAAAATATAGTCTGGTTTGCAGCAAAGCTACAAAAAGAAACATTAAATGTGAGAAGAGGCAGGACGGAACCAGAGCTTAATAGCTAGAGCAGCTTCCAGAATCTAGAACCCTCCAGATGTGCGTAGCTGTCATGTCAAGTGCTACAGATGTTGATACATCTGGAGGGCACCATCAGATACCTGAGCATCTGGATGGCTCAGGTAGAAATGAAATTTCAAGGGAATATATTCCAGGTCCAATAAAGCAGTGGTTGGGAATCTGTGCCCTTCCTTCTCCCACACCGAGCAACTACCACTTCCATGCTACCTCCCTATTAGCCACGCTGGCTTGGACAATGGAAACTGAGATTTAACAATATTTGGAGAACCACAAGCTCTGCAAATTTGCATTAACGGCTTAACTATATGAAGTCAAATCATGGTCATAACCACAGTTCAGAAAAAGAAGAACTGCAACAAGACATGAAAGATCTCATAATGGGCCTTGTAGTGCAGTGGTTAAAACTGCTGTACTGCAGCCAAAACTCTGCTCAGGACCCAGTTTCAATGCCAGGTAGCCAGCTCAAGGTTCACTCAGTCTCCCATTCTTTTAAGGTTGGTAAATTGGGTACCCAGCTCATGGGGGGGGGGTTTAATGTGTTGCCTGCATAATTAAATTCTAAACCACTCAGAGAGTGCTTTAAGCACTATGCGACGGTATATAAGCCTTTGCCTTTTTGCTTTGAAAAACAGAAAAACTAGATGACCTAAATTTAGGCAACTGCAATGTCAATGGAAAGACAACAAATTGGTGAGATAATTTAATATATTTTTACTCTTAATGTATTTTACAATGTTGGCTAAAACCCAATAGTAAATCATAGGCCCATTGAATCAGGCTTATTGAATCAATGGAACTTACAGAAGAGATGACTCAACAAATCAGTGGAGATCTGTTGAGTCACCTCCTCTGTAAGTTTCATTGATTCAATAAGCCTACTCTGGTTGCAACTTACAACTGGATTTCAGCCAGTGTACATTACTGTATATTATATACCCTATGAGTTATATTGAGACAACTTAAATATTGTATTTTTACTCCCAGGGATAGACTTGTGTAGGATTATCTGCCTCATACGCTGAAACAACTAGAGAACTATGCATCTCTTGGTCATGCAGTATGTATGGGAGGGGTTTTCATTTGCTTTTCTACCTGAGACTAGAAAATATTTTCGACCAACCATGAGGTCAGTCCAGAAAACAAGAACACATTAGTAAAAATGGCTTCAGAACTGCAGAGTTGATGTTAGAGAAATCTCTCCTTTCCTATAGACCAGGGGTCTCCAAACTTCTTAGCGGAAGAGCTGCATCATATATGCTCCACATTTTTGAGGGCCAAAGGAAGACGCACACGCACACACAGATAAAAAGGCAAGGCGAGCTGGATGCGGCCCGCGGGCCGTACTTTGGAGATCCCTGCTATCGACTAACATGCTACATTTTTTAAAAAAAGCAACCCAACACTACTTTCCCTTGTTTTTCTCTGCCCATTTCTTGTTCTCTCAGATGCCCATTTTAATTTGTGATCTCCTCAGGAGCAGAGACCTAGCTATTATGGGCTATATTCCTCTTTTGCAAGTATGCCATGCATAGAGATGGTGCAAGAATAAAAACTGAAACATCCAGTCATCTGAGGCACACTAAGCGTAAGTGCTTTGCTATTATGGGATGCTGTTTGATCAACCTCAAGGCTATAACCATGATGGAGGGCTTACTGGGACTTCTGCATGTAATATATTCTAGGCTTTTTTCCCTGAGTTGTTATCTATCCACTTTAAAAAAAGGAAGAGGCCAGAAAAGAGGGAAATAGGCAGATGGAATTCTGCGTAACAAGTAGCAAATTTGCTTCTTCCCTCTGCTTCTTGCATTCATCTACCTAATGCATGCAAAAGCACAGCAATAAAGAGCAAACAGTTGAACCATATGGACCTTACTTGCTAACTATAGTATAACTCAAAATGATTTCACATCTCTTTAAAAAAACTCTTTAAATATACCCCTAAATTCATGTTTAGGTTTTGTTGCTGGATATACCCTTAGGTCCTTCCCCTGCAGTGAAACCAGACACTTACTATGAACCAGAGATACATGCTATTCCAGTTAAATTATATTTTTCCCATTTCTAGTTTATTTTAGTTTTAGGTGTTTTTTAATTTAAAAAAAAAGATTTGCCACTTGTACAAGGAAAAGACCAGGAGATGGCAGATTAATGCATTCCATGAATAACTGGTTTTAATACAACATATGGCAATTTTGAGATAAAATCCCTGACTTTTCTGAACCCAGAGAAACATTTAATCACAATTCTCCTGTGCCACTTCACAAAAGGGCACAGAAGCTCCAATCTTCAAACTCCATCTGTGCCTGATTCTCTAATCTCCATGCAAAACATAGCTTTCAAACCCACAAAACCAGTTAAGCTAGTCCACTAATGCTTGTGTTGTAGACCTTTCATTATTTATTCAATATGCCAAGTAACTTAATACATCTCCACAGCCCCATAGCCTCTACATCTAGCTGGAGAGCAAACTAAACCACCAGCCAAAGAAAACTAGGTTGCACCAAGTGGATTGCAAAACAATCCATAGATAATCTTTTTCAGCACGTCATCCACAATTAATGACTTTCAATAACAATGAAGATCCAGACATTCCATGACTAGTCAGGGCATTTTAGTATATAGGGGTCACCTTTCATTGGTTCAATGAACACAAGAGCTTGCAAGCTATAAAGCAACAGCACTAATACAGCGGTGCCTCGCTTAGCGACGTTAATCCGTTCCAGGAAAACATTGCTAAGCGATTTAATTGCTAGGCGATTTTTAAAAGCCCATAGAAATGCATTAAAACGTGTTTAATGTGTTCCTAT